CCCTTCTGTGTCTCATATCTTCCCTTTTCCCCCCCTCCCAGCCTCTAACAGCTCTATTTCACAGGTCACAATTTCTGTTTACTTGAGGGTTGTATAACTCATATGTACCTGACTAAACTGAGCTGCTTGTTCCGTTTATGTTTAGTGCTAGAATCTGCTGCTTCTGTTTCAGGAAGGAAGTTGTCATGAGGAAGACTTGTGTGTCTGATAATGGCCTTTTTTTTCCAACCTATCAATTAAAAGAAAGCTAGCTCTATTTCACAGGTCACAATTTCTGTTTACTTGAGGGTTGTATAACTCATATGTACCTGACTAAACTGAGCTGCTTGTTCCGTTTATGTTTAGTGCTAGAATCTGCTGCTTCTGTTTCAGGAAGGAAGTTGTCATGAGGAAGACTTGTGTGTCTGATAATGGCCTTTTTTTTCCAACCTATCAATTAAAAGAAAGCTTCTGTACCTGCAAACCTAATAAATAAAAACTCTTTCCTATAACATTTTCTAAGGAATCACTCTTTCTCACTGACAATTTTCTTTTTTTGCATGCCATGTCCAGGTTGTAGTTAGCCTTGGTGGTTATGTCATATTTTATGACAGCAGTGTGGTTTCTTAAGTTTTTTTGTACACTTTAACAGAAATACTCAATAACTTATTGTTATCAGAGCCCTTAGGTACAACAGATGCTATTTAATCTGATTTCCAGGACAGAATAGTTAATTTTCAGAAAACTTGAACATAGTTGTATCTAAGGACCAATTCATATTGCATTTGATTTCCAGTTTGGTGAACTGTTCTGTGATAAGTCATAGGAAATGGACAACTTCGAAATTTTTTTTTTGGCCAAATATGTGGGAGGGGGTTGTACTTTATATTAAGGTAATGCTTAGAGATTAAACTTCAGTTTGTATATTTTCCATTGAACCCTTTAATTTTTGTGTGCTGGCTGGTAACAGTGTTGCTTTGGGAAAAGACTGTACCTACACACTGAGTATTCATCAATATTTCTAGTGTTTTATATTTCTGGGGAGTGCTGTTTCATGGGACAATTTCTCACCAATTAGGAGTTGCTGAGATTTCAGCTAATATAAGACAATATTAGCCAATTTTGGCTTACAAAGCTATTGCTAATGCTAACTTTAATATTAGTTAATAAAGTTAATATTAGGTTTAGGTATCACCATGTTATCAAGTTTCTCCTTTAAAACACTAGCAGGTGTTATCATTAAGGGTTATCAAGGGTCTGTCAAATGGCACTGGTGTAGTATGGTGAACTCTTAATATACTAATAATTTCCATGCTGCAGAAACAACCCCACTGCTTTCAGCAGAACTGCCTGTGAAGTACTGGTTGATGGGAGTAAAAGACATTCAAAGTCTGGTTGCAAAGAATAAATTTATCCAAACTTTAATTTTAAATGTTTGTTTTTAATCCATCTTTTCTTCTGTTCTTGCAGTCACTCCACGAAGTCTGTCATGGACTTTGTCAATAGCAATGAAAATATTATTTTTGTACACAACACAATACACCTCATTTCCCAGATGGTAGACAATATTATTATTGCTTGTGGAGGAATTTTACCATTGCTGTCAGCAGCCACATCCCCAACTGTAAGTACAATATTTCCACCTAGTGGTCATATTAGAAATTGTTTTTACTAATACAAACCACTATTTGCATCTGAATTTTCTTCTTTAGGGACTCCTGTCCCTTCTCTGCTACTTTCTTTAAAATATTAAAATTCATAATTGAAACTGTTAAGTTTTGATATACAGAATGTTTATAATATCTTTCTTTTCAAATGCTAATTTTATTAGAGAAGTAATAGTAAGAATATTTCATAGATACTTAATATTTTGTTTGAAAGAGAAGACCATTAGAATTATGGATACAAATCATGATTACTCTAACAAAATTACATGCTTTGTGATGGCTAGTCATTGGTATTCATAAATCTGTTTTGCATGGCCACCATTTGTTTGCATGCCAAATGATACCAGAATGCATCCCCTCACTACTCTGTTTAACTTCTTCCTCCAGTAGGTCCTGACCTTCATTTTCTTTTCTTTTTTAATCTTGTATTGAAATAGGCTAATATTTTAATCCATTCCAGTGTTCTTAGTAATATGCAGTTTCTTAGATGATCACAGTTCAGACAGGCAGAGTCGTCTAATAGAATGCTTTATGAAAAGGGAGAAATATTTTATAAATATTGCATTATTGTCATAGTAATTACAGTATTTGAATGTGATGCCTGGTCTGTGCCTAGTATCTGTAACTATTTCTTTCACACTAAATGTTTTGTCTTGAACATCCTGTAAGAATCTGCAGTTAGTATTAGTCTTTAAAAGGGGGGAAGATGAAGCCAAAAAGGGACCAAAAGGCTTCTCTGAAGTAATGTAACTAGTAAGCACTGGAGGCTACAAATGAAGTAGAAGATTAATTCCTTATTCTAGCCTTTCAGCAACTGAGGTTACTATCCTTTGCCTCTACTATTATTTCTAGTTAGCTAGGGAAAAAAACTGTTCTGCACGATTTTATCTGAAAGGTATGAAGGTATGGACTAGCAATTGGCTTAACATTAATATTACTTTCAGCCAGGCAATTAATTGTTAAATGCTGTGTGTTTACTATTTTTTACTGTGTTAAATGGTACAATATTCTCTATAAGCAAAAGTGTAAGACTAACAGAAAATATTTTAGTTCTCTGTAGTCCCAAGACTGACGTCAAGGTTGCTGAATAAAAGATTTTGCAAGTGCTTCATTGTAAATATTGACAAGGATGAGAGAATGCACATCAAGCCACCTTGAGATGCAGGCTGTAGTATCAGTCTCTAGATAAAAGGACATTGAGAAATATTTTTTGAAATAAACCTTTTAGACATGGTTTGAAAATGAAGATTTTTTTTTTTTGACATCTTTATATAAAAATATAAAACAGGCACAGTGTTAATTGGGCTGCAATCCACTGAATGGTCTTGGTGTTTTTAGCTCTTATCCTGGTTTATGACACAGCAGAGCCATTGTGTAGAATAATTGCGCAGCTCACCATCTCCCTCTGTTCTGGGTAATAAATACATATATGTGTGTGTGTATAGATAGGTAGCTGATATAGCTTTATAAATTACACATCCATTTGTTAAAATATTGTGTGTTGCTACAATAGTGACAATTTTCATGAATTGATGCAAAAGGCTACATTTTCAAATCTGTGTATTATGCATGCGTTTATCCACTAAAAGGGGTCTGTGTGTATTACTATAAATGATCAGTTTTGCCCTCTGTTTAGGATAATAAAATAAAAATAAATTATGAAATAAAATAATTCACTAGAAGATCAGTAGCTGCCTTCAAACTGAATTAATCCTACTCTGTCAAATTAAAAAGAAGTGATTACTTTTGCCCCAGATTTACAGAGAGTGTGGGGAGAAGGAATTGATAAAATCACTAATTAACTTCACCTGGAAATAACTGTTACCATCTAGATCATGATTTCATAATCACTTCTGCCTATCAGAGAGCTTCTTCCCTCACATTCAACTCCATTCCTATTGCCTGTCTGTAGTCATTAATAGGGATATGGATTTATTCATCACTGTGACAGATACAAAGAGCCCAGCAAACCCTTCCTCCTTCTTAGAGAAGGTGCTGTCCCTCAGTGTTGTTCTGAATCACAGTTGTGAAGGGACCAAATGCCCTTCTGGGCATCAGACAACTTCTGAGTATCCATCATATGATGAATGAAAAGAAGTTTCATGCTGATTCTCAGACTTCTAATACTCTTGCATCCTTGAACTAATGTGGAGAAAGCAGATGGACTGCTGATCAGGAATATATTTCTTCTCAGTCTTCAAAGGCCAAAATAGTCCAGTGCTTACAGTCAGTTACAAGGGACTTTGTCTCACTCTCATTCTTCCAAGAGCTGCTAATTGGAAGAGAGAAGAGGTCTGAAACTGGAAGATTAATATAACGTCCCTACTGCATAAAACCACTTATGGCAGGCCTTCTAGTGACATTTTATGCCACAGGAACTTTCAAGGAAGGAAAGACCCAATATTCTTTTTCCCTCACCGATTCAAAGAATCACAGAATTGCAGAATGGCTGGGAGGCACCTCTGGAGGTCACCTGGTCCAACCCATCTGCTCGAGCAGGGCCCCCTGAAGCCAGTTGCCCAGGACGGTACCCAGATGGCTTTTAAGTGTCTCCGAGGATGGAGACTCCACCACGTCCCTGGGCAACCTATGCCAGCGCACAGTCACTGTCACAGCAAAAAAGTGATTCTTGATTTTCAGAGGGAACCTGCTGTGTTTTACATAATCACATTAATAAACATGAGGGGTTTTTTGCAAGATATACAGTCCAAATTTTGTGTTGCATCACATGACTCACTTCCAAACTCAACTGTTACGTAATTTGAATTGGGCACGGTGGGAAGTCCAGTCAGGCAGTACTGCTTTACTCTTGCAAAAGCAAGCTCTCCACATGTTACATAAGCTGCCTTACTGGTCAGCCCAACGGCCCAGTTGGTTTCACACTCTGCCTCCGATAATGACTGGTTGCAGCTTACATCAAAATACAGGAGTCTGAGCAAGCATATTGATTGCTCTAATGATACTTTGTTACAGCATTTAGGATTTTAACAGCTAGAGAGGGTGTCTGGGCTGTCACTTTTAATAACTACTGAGGAATTTATCCTTCTAGACATTATCTAATTTTTTTTTGAAGCTACTTACACTTTTAGCCTCCGTAATATCCTATGTCATCGAGTCTGACAAAGTAATTATATAACCTTTGAAGCACTTCTTGTCTTTGTGTTTTTTAAGCCTGCTTGAATGTATAAAGTCACTATGTGCCTTACTGTTTATGCTATGAAAGGAGTGGTTAATCGCGTCTTTATTCACCTCCATATAATTTACGACTTTGTAGGCATGAGTCATATCTCCTGGTGTGCTTATTTGAATCCGTAGAGTCTTCATCTTACTTAGTCTGTCTTTGAATGCCTCTGATCCTCCATATCTCTATTCTGTGGAGCTTTTCTAGGGTGTCACATTTTGTAGATCCTGTAGAATACATATATTCAGTTTATCAACAAATACGATTTCGTTTTACTTAATTTCATCCTTTTTCAGTTTCATGAATCCTGAATCAAATATTCCCACTTAAGGCCCTTGGGGTACATATTGAAATTTGCTTACTTATTTCCTCCTAGTGTGTTTTATTTGTGGCACAGTACATATAATCTACATCTAATTCTAAAAATTCATTTACTTCTTGGTTTGGAATAATGAAATACAGGAGCAAAAATTATGATACTTGAGGTGCTAAAACAGGATGGAATTCCAGAAGAGAATAGGGTAAACTTAGGTATTGACTTGAATTACATACATGTGGACTAGATCTCTAGCCAATGGAGAAGCAAACTCCAACATTTACTCAGTAGAAGTAAACGGTTCAGCTCTACTCTGATGTACACATCTAGTAGCCAGTCAGCCAGATCCCTGTAGGGTCCATCAACTGCAATGATTGTTAACCTGGAGCTGAAACCAGCTTCTTATGAGGTAGCTTACTTGTTTTCTAATGGAGAAGATGACAAAAACACATAGTCTTTCTGATTAATTTTTTTTTTTTTTTTTAATTAGAAGGCATTTTTAAGATGGTGCACAGGTGTGAAAAAGCATGTTTGGGGAGCTGTAAGGAAAAAGATTTGCAGAAGATGCTTTCTGTTAACAGCAGCTGGTTGATAGATGCAAAACCTAGTACAAGCTAGGAACTTTAATCATTGCTTACTGCAAGGGTAGCAGCTATGACAAGGACCTGAGGACATGGAATAAGGCAAAAGAAATTTGAGGAGTTGAAATATGTGTGACAATTGAGAGCAAATTTCCAGAGGTCTTGCATCTAGTTTGGTTTTCCACATAGTTGATGAAGTCTTTAATTCTAGTTCTTGCTTGCAGCATTTAAAACAACAGCTCTCAAATCGTGGGTTTTGAGAGCTGATGTTATATGAATGGCTGTCTGCAAAACTCAATTAAACATTTAAAGAAAGCCTTTCTAGGTCTGTCGATAAAAAGACAAATTGAGATATTTTTCTGTATGTCCTTTGTATAGTGTTAACATCATCATGTTCATGACTCATGATGTCATAGGTGCTCCATGATCTATAACAATTCTGACAATCAGCAGTGGCACACTGATGTAAAAATTGTCAGCTAGTAAGCAAGAGAAAATACCCATAATTCCCAAGGTGCATCCAGCTACAAAAGAGGAAGACACATTTAAAAAGTTGTTGAACATGGTATTTTCTCTTTCAAAAGGAAAGAAAACAGTTTGTTTCAACTTGTTTTTCTTTGTTAGATGACTTTTTCCCACTATTTAAATGACAAATATACCAACATATGCCTGAAAATTCATTTTCTTTCTCCTTTTAAAACATAACCAGTGAAAACTTAAGGATTTTAAGAGAGAAAGGGCTTCTACCTAAAATTAAAACATAAAAATTTTATACAACTTTTTAATGGTGAACATAGAAATTTGAACACTAACTGAGTCCCAGGGGCTTAGTGATTGTATTTTTTTTCCCCTGTGGTTCAAAAGCGTTCAAATATCCAGTAAGATATTGGTTTAGATTGACGAATCACACCCAAATGTAATATACATAGCAAGCTATGTGTTCCTTCAAAAGAAGAACAAAATGCATGAAGAACCAGTTTGCTTTTTGTGATTTACATTTGTTTAGTGAAAGCATTTTAAACATATTTGCCTCCTCATACAAAGATTAACTACTTTATTACATTTCAGTTAAATGGCTTGTTGTAAAATGCTCATTTTATTTCTACATAATCAGTGAAAACATTACTTTGGTTTACATTGCTTTATAAAATTGCTCTATGTACTATATAAAAGATGTACATTGGTTTGGAAGAATCAGTGTTTACATGAACTCCATAACAATACAAGATTTATGATTTTCCTTGTGCATAGCTATCTCTTTAGAATATTTTGTTTTCAAATGTTCATGCTGAGTTGAAATGTTTGCTATTCTAATTATAAATTAAACAAATGTATAATTCCAAAATACTGATTTGTTTCAATTTTACATTGTATTTTTAGTTAACTTTAATAATTTTCTTTTTCTTTTATTGTTGTGATCTGTTGTCTGTTTTGTCTGTTGCATGTCCAGGGTTCTAAGGTTAGTATTGCTGCTGTAAGTTTCAGTTTTTTGCATTTTCAAAAATACCTTATTTTTGATCATTTAATATTTCAGCTTTTTTATTATTGTTATTATTTTCCTATATCATATAGTAGGATATGAACAGGAATATATGGAGTGTAATCATTAATTTTTCATAACATGTTTCCTGTGAATAACTTAATACATTGTCAGGTATGATGCTTACTGATAGCTACCGGACTGAACGTAGGCAGGTCCATGAGCTAATTTATGTTATAAACATTGTTGTCAGAAAAACTCTTTAGACCCTGAGTATTTTGGTTGTATGGGACACTTGTTACTGCTTTTAAAGTATCTTGATTAGTCATGAAATGGTGATCAGTTCACTTTTTAAAGGGTTTTTGAGCTACACCTATCTAAAATAATGCTAATACCTGAAAGCAACTTGACCAGCAATAGTTGGTTATTTTAAACATTATTAGAATATCAATGTTCTTTATTTAAAAGATAGAAATGACGGTAAGTTTTGCTGTAACCAAAAAAAAAAAAAAAATCCACACACCAAAAATAGTCAGTCTTTTTTATTTCTTCCATCCATGAGAATTTTAGGGGGATTTGTAACAGAAGAGATTTTTTTTTTTTTTAAACATTTAAAGTTTGCAAAAATTTTGATAAAATGCAGTTATATAAAATGAATTTATTACATAACTTGCAACAAAACCCAAAGTGATAGATATTCTGAGAAGGTTTAAGGCTATGATTGATGCAATACAGTTGAAACTTGAGAAAAATCAAGAGCAGGCAGTCAGTTGGCTGCTAACAAGCCTGATGTTATTTCAAGCATGAGTTCAAAGTTCAGGTTTCTATAACCACCTATGAGTTTTTCTAGCAGAGTCTTATGGGTATTGGTTTTTGCAAATAGATTTTTTTTTTTTTTTTTGGATGATTGCTGTCAAAAATTATATTCCAGTCTCATAAAAATACAGCAACTTATTTTTCCAAAATGTAGGAGCACAACACACACTAAGTGGGGTGGACCCGGCTAAAGGAAATAGGTTGCAAATCATCCTTCTGACACCTCTCGTTTTCCCATTTTCCTGATATTATTGGGCAGATCAGGCAGATGACAGCCCTTCCCAAATCACTCATGTAACTGACATGTTACATCCTTAAGAGCAATTAAATGAAGTGGTATCTATCATTGTGGTGACACATGCCACATTATATCCTTCATTTTTCAAAACAGTTGTTTCCTTACAACTGTTTGGCACAGTTTGTGCTTTTATAATTTTGGATAAAAAATATTCTGAAAAGTGACTCAGGAGTGAGGTTACTAATTGTTTAAGAAGTATGGGAATAAAAGAATTTTTTAAATTTTTCTGTATTTCTTTTTCTTCAGAGGGAAATGGCCTTAACACCACAAAATATATTCTTAATTTTTTTATAGGTACTTCTCAGCAAATGAATGAAAAAACCCACCACAAAAGTTGTACTTTTCAGAGGGCTGAACTCTGTGTTCAGAAAAGCCCTGTGATATGGAATCTTGTTCACAGTCAATAAGAATCAGCCATCTGTAAACAATTTTTAAATGCCTTTTTAATTAGGCATATAAATATGGACACAATCAAATACTAAATCGTGTTTTCACTTTTGGCTAGCTCCAGGGGTAAAAGTTTTTAAACATATTTTTTGGTTTTTAAAATTAATCTTACAGTTTCCTCACCTATGTGCATGGATAAACACCTGAATGCATTTGGAAACATGACTCTGTATATCTAAGTTGGGAAAAAAACATGACCCCGTTTAGATTTAAAAAATATTGACCTCATTCAACATTTTTGTGTGCATTCCCATTAAGGATAGTCCAATACTACAGCAGAAAAGAAATGGCCATTCTCTGGGAATGCGAGCTGCACACCATATAACTTGTCACTGTTTTACTTCCCCCAATTCCTGTCATGAGGGAGTAAGCATACTCTCTTCTGATCTCCAAGAGAATTGGATTCTGTCAGGTTCCTATATGGTAAACCCTTCCCAGGGAGAATCATGAAAACAGAGCAAAACTGTTTTTTCCCACTCCACTCCTCACATTTACTCATTTATCTAAAGTAATGTACAAGTTATACAGACAGGAATTATTTTCATCACCTGCCAATTTCCTTATCATATGGAATCACATGAGAGTACATTGCACCCTTATATACAGTGCATTGTTTTACTATCTGGCAACAACAGTAATTACTAATAAAATTCTCATTTATAGTAGGCTTTTTCTCGTCTATTACAGCATGTAAATGTGAATAATTTCCTCACTCTTCATGCTGCTTTACTTTGAATTTCATTCACAGTTTATGTTAATGGAAATAGGAGATTTTTAAGTAACTTTTCAGTGTATTTGTCATTAAGTAGCACATTTTAGATTTGTATGTGTATACTGACTTTATATTTCAGTTGTGTTCAAACTGTTTAATTCAACTATCTCTTTTTAAAGACTGAATTGGAAAATATTGAAGTGACACAAGGAATGTCAGCAGAGACAGCAGTAACTTTTCTCAGCCGTCTGATGGCAATGGTTGATGTACTAGTGTTTGCCAGTTCTCTAAATTTTAGTGAGATTGAAGCTGAAAAAAACATGTCTTCTGGAGGTCTGATGCGACAGTGCCTAAGGCTTGGTAAGTCGGCAGACAGTATGTATTAAATAATTACTTACAGATCAATGAGTTACAGATGGAACAAATAGTGACACAATGTAGGAAAGGACTTGTACTGACTATGATGTGATAAAATAAAACTCCCGTTTATTATTGATTTGCTACAGTTTTAATATTGATTTGATACAGGTTGATTCAATTTAGGCACAAGAAAAAGTTAAAATTAGATGTCTGAAATTGTTCTTTCTTATCTATTTCAAGTGGTGTATATTTTGGGGGAGTAAAAATATTAAATACACATAAGTAAATTAAGATTTTTTTTCTGAACTGCTTGGCTGCCTGCATGTTGCAGATTTCCTTATCCAAGCCTCCATGGATTTGGAAGACTACTTATAGGCTATGTAAGATTAAAACATGGGATATATGTGCAGACTCTGTAGACCTTAATATATGGTGCAACAGTCTGGCACTTCTCTTCATTGTTTTCTATTTCTATATACTATTACAATTAATTTTGGAAATCTAGAAATTAATAACTAAAGTAATTTTCTGCAAACTATATAATTTTATCCTTGTGAATATTACATTTTGACTGTCATGCATGATGCTGTTTTACTAATGTTGTCCCACATACTTCGTCTCTCAAATGAAGAATAATTTTTTAACTCAGATTTTTTCCTGTTATTATTCATACCATTTATTAGGTCATTGATAATTATACTGTTCCTGGTATAAAACTTATGGTTTGTTCTCAATGATCAATTTTCATCAAATTCTGAATTCCTGCCTACTTTTTTTTCTTATTCTAGCTGCACATAACTACATTCAGATTTTAAGTGTTGATAACAGATCAATAACATGTGCAAGCTCCACCTCAAAGGCTAGATATTTTCACATTTTAATAAAGTGATATAGCAGTCATCTAAAATATCTAGTTGGTCAACTAAAGAATGAAATGAGTAAGTCACCATAGATTAGCGCTGAGAGAGCCTAAGGTGAAAACTATGTTGCACTATTTGGACATGGTTATTGACATACCAGACTAGATGTACAGGCTGTTAATTAATGTTCTGAATATAATAATGGGAAAATATTCTAATTTGTAGCGTTTTCATACCTTCTTTTTAGTTTGTTGTGTGGCTGTGAGAAACTGCTTAGAATGTCGGCAGAGGCAGAGAGAGAGAGTGAACAAGACATCATTAATCGGCAGCAAAACTCAAGATGCTCTTCAGGGTGTAACTGCATCAGCAGCCACCAAGGTAACCCAGTCTTCAGTTACCAACAGCGATGACAAGTCTGTATCACTGCTTTATAGGATCAGAAAATAATTGTAACTGCTGTCTCACATATTTAGCAAAAGTTTAGGGTTTTGTTATTAACCGGTTTAAAATAAAAGTATGTGAGGGGGTTTATTTGAAACAATAAGATGTTATTGCAGTAGTACGACTGGAGCAATTTTAAACAGCTTTTTCACTCTTGCTTGGTATACTTCGAAGAGCAAGTCCCCTTACTCACTTCTGTCATATATACCTGCATACCTTTCTTCAGTCTCCCAGGGCACTTTTAGTTTTGATTAAATCCTCCAATCACATCTTTGTTGCTGGAATATCCGAGTCCTGGTAATTTCAACAGACCTTTGTATGCATAGTAGACATCAGTATTTTCTGTCTGATTTTAGGAATGAAACTTGTTTAATATTCAACTGCAGCTCAGTTCTTCCAGTTTCATTAATTCACTGTTCACCTTTTTATTGTTGTTGTTGGTTTTCTTCATCTTATAGCTTTAAGACCTTGGGAGTCCTGAAACTAAAATCTCAAAGAATTTTGCACAGCCCATGACTAAAGTATACCACTTTGTACGACGTAAAAGATTCAACTTTTTTTCTTTCCTAAAGACTTTTTCAGATACCATTTACAAACTCAGCTTCTTTCATGATATTGTTTCATTAAATCTCACAAAAACATTACATTTCTCCACATTCCACATTCCACGTTACAACATTCAGTGCAAAGCAAATCAATATAAAGAGAATTGTAGTTCTTTAGGCATCATTTGTAACACATTATCATTTTTTAAAGGAAGCATACTACTCTATGCTTTTGTAATAATAGCCGTTATTTTATAGTCTCTAATAATTCTCAGTAAAATGAACACAAACTGGTTTTAGAATATTTCTTGTCATCATTTTTAAATTTAACACACTTATTAGAAATAATTTATTGTACTGCTATGAAACAACTCTAATCTGAAACAACTTTTGTGTGCAAATTATTACCTAACTCTGGGAAAGAGAACAGTTTTTCAGAGTACTGGGAAGATGTAACAATTTATAGCTAAATAGTATTAAGACTATAATTCAAAACATTGCTTTATTTCTAGAACTCTTGCCTGGGTGTTATACTGGAAGTAAACTGGTAGTAAAAAAATATTATCTAAGATGGATGCAATATCTAAAAAAGTGGTAAATTAAGGTTCTAACACTAATGCTTTGATATTTGGGGAGGGGGTAAAATCTCACTGCTTTTTATTTTTAGACTCCCCTTGAAAATGTCCCTGGCAATCTTTCTCCCATAAAAGACCCTGATAGGCTTCTTCAGGATGTTGATATTAATCGTCTACGAGCAGTTGTTTTTCGTGATGTGGTGAGTAATACGTGCTGTAATTCTTTCTTCTGCAAAATCATCACTTATATTTTGAAAGAGATTTTGATTGTACCAGAATTAAAAATATCCTTCATGTGTTGCACTTTATATATTATCTGCAAACAATCTGCTTGTGGCTTTGTGACTACCAGCCACTTTCTGCACTTTAAAATCATGCTGCAAGCTATTTCAGATTAGTAGAAAACTGTGTTTAATGGTTAGACTTGATCTTATATTAGCCAAATAATAGCAGCCAGAATAAATCAGTTATCAGCTATGTTGACTAAAACTATATTACTAAAAGTGTCAGCTATTTGTCCAACCTGGAGAGGAAGAAGTTCTATTATATGTATTACAAAACTGCAGCAATTTGATTTATAAAGACAATTTTTACTTCTGCTAAAGATATACATAAAAATACTATATATAAACATACATTAACATGTTTTTTCAGATTTTTTTGCAACTTGTTTTAGCATAAAACTGCAACAAAATGTGTTTGTTTTTGAAAGGAGTACAATAGGAATTATAATTATTCTATATACACAGATAGATATGTTTAAACTTCTCCAACCTAAGTTCGAGTGGATTGAAGTGAAGACTGAAGTTAGAAATAGCTTTTAAAAGAAGGAATTTGACACTAAAAAAATTATCTGTATTTAGGATGACCTGATCATCTTGAAAAGGCAAGGTTGAATTTGTGTGGAGATCTTCTGTCACATACTTTTCTTAACTAAAGGAGAAGGGAATAGGGGAAATACTGTTTCTGGCATTTCTATGAAACAGTTTAATAAGAGGATTTGTAGTTATTTTAGGAATTGCAAAGTCATACAGCCAAATCAAACAATAGAGAGAAAACATGGAAAGCGAACATTGGATTTGTAATAAGAAATGCATGCTTGTGGAACTGAGACAAGGTGAAACTATTATAGGAGGAGAGAGAGGCTGAAGTCTTAATTCAACCGGGTTGGGTTTTACACCATAATAATAATAGAAGACATTTCAGTTGAACTAGAGCAACTTCAGCTCAATCAGGACGATACCAAAGTCATAGAGTGTAGGTGCCATAGAACAGCAGACCAACAGAACAACAGAACAACAGAACAGCAGAACAACAGTGCATTGGGAGGAAAAGATGCAGGCAAAGTTGTTGTGGTCGTGGCATTTACTTGAATCAGTGTCCTGGAAAAGTAGGATTGCTGCTGAAAATCCTGTTGAAGGAGAAGTCAGAATGTACCAGCTGGGATTTCTTGCCAGAAGAAAAACAATGTTCATATCCCTCCTGCTTTTAGATGTTACCAGAAGTCATTATGCCTGCTTATGCATCCAGTGTTAGCCAGAAAAGCATCAGCGAGCTTAGGTTTCCGTCTCAGCAGTAATACCCCTTACCTTCTTATGGCAGGAGCTTTCGGAGTCTCATCCTTGAGGCAGCAACAGTCAGTTTGGGAAGCCTTGAAAGCACTCTCAGAGCAGAGCCAGGCCTCTGTTCTGAAAAACCTGTTGGCTTCACAGTCCCATGGAAGGGAGATTTGTGTAGCTGCCAAATTAGCTGTAAAATTCAGAACATAATACAAGGTGTGTGCATAGTACTCCACTGAAAATCCATTGAATCTTCTACAACATCCATTTGCCATTATGCTAACAGATACAACGTTTCAATAAGGTATTATTTATTAAGCCTTGTGATGATATTGTGTGAAAATTCTATGTAAATGTCCAATATTATAGATCTGTTCCTTTTTCTCCAACTCAGGATGACAGCAAACAAGCTCAGTTCTTAGCTTTGGCAGTAGTCTACTTTATTTCCGTTCTGATGGTCTCCAAATACCGCGATATATTAGAACCACAACGGGAAACTGCAAGGTCTGGGAGCCAGGCAGGTAGAAATATCAGACAAGAAATAAATTCACCAACAAGTACAGGTACATTTGTTTTCTTCAAATGTTATTTCTTTTTTTTTTTTTAACCGTAATTATTTTCCTACAAAATATTTTTAGTGAGCAGCTTAAGATCCTAATAGGAAATTACTTGCTGCTTTCTTCCTCTATAATCGCTTGGTTCTTTAACATACATTGGCAGACTTCAGTTATTCTATATATTTGCTCATAGTGTATAAATAATTTTCATTTACAAATCACTTTTTTATTCCTTTTTTTCTTTAATTTGAAAATAATTAAAAAAGAACAGTGTGCCTGATGGCTATAAAGTACAAGATAGTTGAGCAGCACAAGTCCTGAATCTGTTGTTTGTTAGGAAGACAGATATCTTTAACTCTTATACCATGAAATATATAAACAGCAACCACAGCTGTTTGCCCATGTGAACTTCTTTTGTTTGAGTGAGGAGGTTTGTGAAAGAGTAGTGGTGGAGGACTGGGTACTTTCTTGGAGTCCTGCTGTGTTGGAGCCTGCATTTAAAAGCCAATGGAAACAGTATAATAAAAAGGAAACATTTCTATTGCCTTCTTTGACTGAACTGTTTGTGATTTTTATTAGTAGTAGTGGTTTTGACTAACGTGTTTTTCAGCCTCAGAGGGAGGGAGTCTGTTAGCTGTCACAACCCATCAGAAATTAGGGATCCAAACTTTGCTCTACTTTGCTTCAAATATTGGACACCGTCAGTTCAGTAGATTTTTTTCAGTTCTGATTGGATTGATTATAACTCTACCTTCTGTGTTAAAAGAGCTGAAAACAATAACTCAATTTTTCCATGAAGCTCTTTATGTATTTTTTCTTCTTGTTTTGATTTTTATTTACTTTCTTCATTTATGGAGTTGCTTATTTTTGTTCTTCATAGAATTTATCTTCCAATTTGTGTCATATTTACATTTAGTCTGTATTTTCTGAGTCATTATGGTGTTTTAATTTACTGCTTATACATTATTTTTGAAGAGCATGTGAGTCTAGGTTTCAATTTTAAATATACTACATGAACATGGTCAGATATGAGAAAGCATATTTTTTTGTGCCTTCCTGATTATATGTTATGGTTCTGTACTAAGAAACTGCTAGTTTCAGTGAACTATTTCATCCATGATTGTCTTGCCTGTGTGCGTGTATATATATCTATATCCATATCTATATCTATCTGTGTCTCTTTTTCCCCATGAATGTTGCTCTTGAAGTGCCCAAATTATAGGTATGCTGTTTCCTATCTCTTGATACAGAACTTTTCTTCCTTTAGAAATGCATTTTTTTGTTGGCAATACCATATTTGCATGTTTCAATGAGATAGGATTTCTGTCATGGATCCACAGTGGACCAGGCCACACATGAATATTAGCTGGCTCACATTTGATTCCATGATTTTCTCCACAGTTGTGGTCATACCATCTATCCCTCACCCAAGTTTGAACCATGGATTCCTTGCCAAGTTAATTCCTGAGCAGAGCTTTGCCCACTCATTTTACAAAGGTAATATTAACATCATCTCCTAACCTGTTTGGGTGTTCTTATTTAATGTAATGTAATTCAAGAACTGTGATGTAATTGTTGATAAATAAGTATACGCCTCAGGTTACATGGAGATTAGACCTGATGACACCTTTAAAACTTTTAACCTCCTGCCTACATTTCTCTAGGAAATCTCTTTCCCACTTTTACTAACATTTATTAACTTTACTTATTATGAAATAAATAAAATATGTAAAAAAAAAAAAAAAAAGGCAGTCAGGAGGGAATGGATGTAGAAAATTTTAAATGTTTTTGGTTTGTGGTTATTCTGCTACAATATTAGGTCCTAAAAATAAAATCAGGCCTATTTTAAAAATATTGCATAACACATAAATTATGTAGCAGTTTTGTAGTATTCCCTTTCCCCATATCTTTTCCTGTTCTTTTGCCTTCCTTTCTCACTTTTTTCTTGCCTTCTTGATGGTATGTAAACCTCTGATATTGTATGTATTGTGAATTATTTTCTGCCTGTTAATGTGCTGTGCTGTGCTTTTCTTGACGGAAACTGCTTTTGTGACCAGAGCAACTACTGTATGTTTTTGGCCTGATTTGTTTTGGTTTTTGTTTGTTTGAATAGATACTACTATGTAATGTAGGGAACATATTTTTCAGATGTCATTACTTGAAAAAGAGAGCATTACCTAAGCGTAACTTGAGCCAAGGCTGCATGTACATTTCCCCATTTATTTGCATGCAGTGTACTGTGAATACAGAAATGTAAAATAAGTTCAAAATATTAATCTGATGAAAAACTTCTTGGTATAATTTTGAAAACTCTCAGTGGGTAAAAGGATTGATTGATAAAAATCCTAAGATATACAGATTTTTATCCTGTTTATCAGAAATAGTTAACTTCCGACTTTAGTAATAATGCAACTTATGTTTACCATGCAGTGTTCTGCGAGCATTATGTTAATATACTCATTACATCAATTTGAACTATCAATATGTTAATCTGGCATTTCTTAAACTTTAGTGTGTGCATGTATATATATTATAAATCGCTTTAAATTCTAACAACTATAACCACGGGTTTGTGATTTTGATTAATAAGATTATTGTCTTCCATTAAAAAAAAAAATATTTGCATCATTCAATTTACTGATGTAATCATCTTTGCTGTGACATAGTTGCATTTGTATGAATTAATCTCTTGTGGGTAAAAAAAGGAATAATTTGCTCTTAATTCAGAAGAATTCTGTGGTTCTATGGAATAAACCCTTTAAACTTCATTAAATATTGCTTTCTCATCTTTTTTCTTTTTTTTTCTTGTTTTGGGGTTTTGGTTTGGTGGTTTATTGGTTTTTGGTTTGTTTTTGGTTTTGTTTTTGTTTTGTATTTATAGCATGTTTCTGTGTATCAGATATAGGACATTTTATTTTTAATGACCTTTTCTTGAAAATTGGGATTGATTAGCCTGCCTCAAAACACATTTATTTAATTTTAAATGTTATTAAATTTAGTAAATAAAAAAAAATTACGCAACAGGAATGAGATTACAAAGTTTGTACAAAGTTTGACATTTGATATAATGGGTGGCGAAGGAGGGGAAAACTAAATGCTTTTTCTTCTTATCCACTGCCATGGTTTAGGACCAGCCAGCAACTAAGCACCACACGGCTGCTCGCTCGCTCACTGCTCCCTCCCCCACACCCTGTTGGGATGAGGAGGAGAAAATTGGAAAATTTGGAAAAGGAAAATTTATGCATTGAGACAAGGACAGGGGGAATCACTTATCCATTTTGGTCACGAGTAAAATGCACTCGACTTGGTGAAGAAAAAGAATAAATCAATTTAGTTACCAATCAAATCAGAGTGGGATAATGAGAGACAAAAACAGATCTTAAAACACCTTACCCCACCCCTCCCTTCTTCCCAGGCTCAGCTTTGCTCCCCATTTCTCTACCTT